CGGTACGGCCACGACGCACCACCTCCCCCAGCTCACGGCTGCGCGGTACGGCCACGACGCACCACCTCCCCCAGCTCACGGCTGCACGGTACGGCCACGACGCACCACCTTCCCCACCTCACAGCTGCCCTGGTCCCAGGCACCACTTCCTCTGGCCTGTACCACTGCAACACTCTCTTGCAGCTGTGCTGGCCTCCCCCCTTGCCCTGTGAGAATCTGTTCTCAACAGAGCAGCCAGAACTACCCCTCCAAAGTGCAAATCAGACCACACACTGAGGCCAAGCACAACCGCCAACCCCTTCCCATTTGCTCAAAGTGGAGGCTACACTGTCACGTGGCCAGTGACGACCAGACCAGGCAGGCCCCTCACCTCATCTCCTAGTGTTCCCTCGCTCACTCTCTGCTCAGCCCCCGTAGCCTCCTTTCTGGTCCTCAAACGTGGTGGGCAGACATTGGCTTCAGGCCCTGTCTACCTGCTGGAGGGACCCGCCACCTGGTACACTATGCCCAGATAGCCCCGGCTACTTCCTTCTCTTTACCTCCTTGAGGTGTTACTCAGAGTGAGGCCTGCCTGGACCCCCTCACACTGTCCCCCAGACAGCTCCTGACTCCCCTCCTGCTTATCACCATCTGACACAGTCACTGTAGTGTCCCAACCTCTGTTCGCCCCTCTTTAACATGCTTCCATCAAGAACTGGCAGATACCTCCCACCCCAAATGTGGGCGGGACTGGGAACTCCCTTCTACAGACAAGAGTGAAGTGGCCATGAGGGTGTGTGACATGCAGATGCAGGACATGGCAGGCACTGACCCTTCCTTGGTGCTCTCAGAACATGGCTTCTGCCAGCAGCCAGCAGCCAAGCTGAGGACCCCCAAGCAGCCCCATGGAGAAGTCTACATGGTGGGGGACTGACACCCCCTGCCACAGCCATGTGAGCGAGCCGGGAAGCAGCTCCTCTGGCCCCGGTCAAGCCTTGAGGTGATGTAGCTGCCTGAGACCCTGAGCCAGAATCACCCAGCTAAGGTGCCCCTGAATCCAGAAGACGGTGGCCTAGCAGTTACTGTGTGAAGCCGCTAAGCTGTGGAGCAATGTGTTAATGCAGCAATAGATACACAGTACACAGACACCCAGTTTTATGTTCCCCACTTACTGCTTCTCTCCTCACTGGAATGTGTACTCTGAGGGTGCAAGAACTGTGTTCTAGTCACTGCTGTGTCCCTGAGTCTAGAGCGTGCCCTGACCTGAACCAACTCTTTGGTAAGTGTGCATGCTCAGAACACATAAAAACCAGGGCCACTGGACAGCCGACAGCCTGACGGCAGCTAAACACTCTCACGTGGATTCCCCTCACTAATAGACGTAACCCTCTAAAGCAATGGTGAGAAGACAAGGGGACAAGGAAACCAGGGTGCCGGACACAGAACCACCGGGGTACAGTTAATGAGAACACTGACGTGGTAAAAACGCAATGCACATCATAGAACAACTGATGTAGGAACTGTTGACTGGAAACCTAATTTGCTGTGTAGACTTTCACCAAAAACACAGGACAACAGTGTAGAAAGAGAAAAAAGGTGATGAGTCTCTGTACTGACATACACTTACTACACTTCAGAAACTTCCTAGTCAGCACTGTGGTTAAGGGTAGGTGAAATTTTATGAGAACCTCTGCCCTCCTTCTTTTTCAAAAGGCAGGCCCTAAAAGTCAAGCCCGGGAAGATAAGAGAGGGGACCAGATGACCCAGCGACGGCGCTGCCCAGAGCATCTCACAGCTACACGGGTGGGGGTCAGGTGTGGAGATGGGGGCATTTCAGGTGTGCCCTGAGGACCAGTCTCTTGCCTTGGAAGGCTCATCTCGCAGAGCTGCCAGACGGCCTTTCTGGGGACGCCGCAACACTGAGCTGGTGCTGTAGGCATCCGTGTGACTGTCAGCCACTGGGAACCTGAAGTCCGGGACGCTGCCCAAGTGTGGTCGGCTGAAACGTGAAGACAAAAGAACAGAGATTAGAGGAACACCAACTCGTGTGGTTGGCCAGAACTGGCCCGTCCAGGAAACAAGCAATGGCACACAGAAAACGGTCTCGAGGAGAGCATGTCTCTCACATCCCCCACAGCCACACACTGCCTGCTCTCCACCAAGACCCAGCCCTTTCAGGCCCACCAGGCAGAGGACCAGGGCAGACCAGTTCTGTCGCAGTGTTAAGACAGGGGCTGCAGCTGCTGGGCCTGGGGAAGAAGCAGTGATCCACCTGACTCTTCCTTCCGGGCAGGTCATTCAGCCTGCACCCCACTCCATGTCTTCCATGGCTGAGCAAGAGGCACGTGTGGACATTGTTTGAGTTTCTTTCCCTGTTTGTGCTGAGCCCCCCAATCTCAACGCTCCTGGTGGGAATGCAGTCTAAGGGGCCCCCAGCAGGCATCACTGAGGAGCCAGCCACAGGCACCCTCCGACCACAGCGGAGGGCCACAAACACCTTGGCAGCCACTGCTGAATGCAAAGTCCCGAACTGCATGCAGTCAGACCAAGAGAAGACCCACAGCCCTGGCTGAACAAGGCCCAGAAACAACGAAGACACAGGAGCCAAGCGCCACTGAAGCAGACCTGGTTGGCAATGGTGAAGCAGAGGGCGGCCAGGCCTCAACCCTGGGCACGCAGCTGCATTGCCTGGATCATTTCTGCTTCCTAATCCCTTGTTCCCTGTGAAAGAGGGATGGGTGCCTTCCTACTCAGAAATCCTGAAGGTCTCAGGGGATGGACTCCAGTGACCTGATTAAACCAAGTTCCCAGAGCTCCCCAGGGTGCCCCCAGCCCCCGTGAGGTCCCTTTCAAAGCCTGCCACAGAGCACCCTACTCTCCATGCCCCTGCAGAGCGGGCCAATCCATCAACCAGGAGGCAACACACCAGTATTTCTAAAAGAAATGTCTTCTTAAAGTTGTACCTAAGATTTCCTACTTGTTGGTAAGAGATCCTTACCTATACTCTGACTTCTGACTCTCCCTCGCCCAGCTCCTCGTTCGTAACAAAAAGGCTCATTCTCCCTAAGCGTGAGTTCCAGCCTAACGGCTCTGGGGTTGGGACACATCTCAGATTCAGATGAAAGCAACGCACACAACCTTGCATGTGATCTGGGGGCCCAGACCCTCTGAAGGCCACCCAGGCCCTCTGATCCCAGCCCGGAGCTGCTCCCTCCTCCAGAGTGCCCTTGCTCACCCCGTCTATCTGTGGGAGCCCACCCACCTGTCTACCCACCCATCTCCTCTCTCTCCCACTCCTCCATCAACATGTTCCTTTGTGGCTGGGAGGACCACGGAAACAAGACAACCACTTCACTCTGGGGTTGCGCAGAACAAGCTCGGTGTCACCAACCACTACTGTCTCTTCACCGTCCCTTCTGAAGATGCTATGACACTCACCTGGCCTGGTCCACACTAGGCCAGGAGACACTGGTGGCCCTGGCCCCACCTGCTCCTGTCTAGGGGTACCAGATGGCTAGTCTCGCCATCACCTCTCACTCTCACCAGTGCACACACCTGACTGCCCACATATGCAGCCTTCTCTAGCTTGACGCCATCTATCTCCCTCAACTTTACCACCCTTTGAAGTTACTGCACCATTTCTCTGCTTCCTTTCCTTACTGAAACTCTCAAGAGTAACTGTGGTAGTTAAGGTTGTATGTCAACTTGGCTGGGCCTGGGTGAGTAGCTGGGCAGCTGGTGGTAGTTATTCCTCATGAGGAGACTGGTAATCAACTCCATGGTGGGATCTACCACAAGCAGCTCAGTAGCTGCTTTAGGGATATGGTCTGCTTTCCGTACATAAGCAGCAGCTTTGGGAATGGTCTCTAGCTTATGGAATGTTTGAACCCTGCATGTATCCGAGTCATTGTTCAGCAGCCTGCCATGCTCTGCCGACCTTGGAACTTTCAATGGACTTGAATTAATGGTTTGCCATGTGGTTTGGTAACATCAGGACTGTGCCTTGTTACTTGTCAACCCTGGGTTTGTCAGCCTCAGCAGCCAGCAGCTGAGTGTAAAAAAGCCTCCAGTTTCAGTGGGCCGGGAGCAGGAGGCAAAGCTGAAGCCCAAAGTTGAGGGGTTTCACCCAGCCCCTAGAGTCTGGGACCTTGAACTCGGACTTAAAGCCTCCAAACTGTAAGAATAAATTCCCACTTGTTACAGTTATCCCATCTGTGGTACATTCTTGTCAGAGCAGCACTAGGGAACCAGAATGGTAATTCAGACTGTTCATCTCCTCTCCATCTACTGACTCACGCCGCACTTTTAAACGCAGCTTAACGCAATCCACTGAGCAACAGAACATCTCTGCAAGGCTGATGACTCTAGTCTTTCATCATCCAGAACCTTCATCACCAAATGGACCAATTTCTGACCTTGTTGTCCTCAACATTTTCCTGGGTAAGCATGCCACCTCTCCTCCCTGAAGGTCCCCTCTTGGGTGCAAAGGCAGGAACCCTTCTGGCTCCCCCTCATGACCGTCCTCCCTGGTCTCCCCTCTTCTTGTTGTCTAGTAGGTTCTGTAGCCACAGATGTTCACGACATAGAGGGTCTGCAAATGTAGAAATGTCTGTCCGTAACATACTACACAAAAATATCAATGACATCCTACTTTGGAGACTAGCAACTAGGATCTTAAAAGCTTGCAAGCGGCCATCTACATGCAACGATGGGTCTCTCCAAGGTACACAATGTGATCCTCACCGTATGCGACTATGAGACCTAAAGAACTAGATGGTGCCCAGCTATCATTGTCAACCATTTGGAGGGTGACTGGTGCAGGAGATCCTGGACAGAGTGGGAGTACAAAGTGGAACAAAAGTTGAAATCATTTAAAAAAAAAAAAGGGACCAGGTTTGCTGGTCTGATAGAGCCTGGTGGAACCGCTGGGACTATAGCCCCTAGTTGCCCTTCAGGTCTGGAATTGAACCCATTCCTGTGGCTTCCAGCCAAACAAAAGACAGGCATATGAGCTGAACATTTACATTAGGTAGATACACTCCTTAGAGAAATCAATCCTGGGAGAACAGAAGGGCTGTGTGTGCGCAGGGAGACAACTCGGAGGGCAGGAGTGCATGGAGGAAAGGACACAGGGAAGAGGTAACTACGGGGAGGAAGTGGGAAGGGAGCTGTTGCATTGTGGGAGATTGCAGTCAATATCAAGAGACAAAGTGTATGTAAGCTGCTGTATAGAAGATGAATTTGCTCTGTAAACTTTCATGCAAATCACAATTAAAAATTTAAAAAAAAGAAAGAAACATCTGTCTGGGCTCTGGACTTTCTCCTCAACCAAATGGATCAATGTCACTAAACAACCACTTCAACAATTTTTGCTAAAGTTTAACTCTCACTTATTGACCTTCTACTACAGATAGTGCTACTTAAAAATAAATAAATGAAAGTTTGATGAGAATTACTGCCTTCCTAACATGATAACTTGAGTAAGACAAGGCTGCTGAGGGCTTCACGCTGGATAATGTGCTAGGAGTCAGTGCTAAGCCAGGTGGTTCACTCCTACATCAGCTAATTAATTCATGTTTAAAACTCATGTTTCCACAGATTTTTAAAGGACTACCCATCACTGACCTTCAAAGTCTCTTGTAAGTACTATACTCAGTCCACAAAGGCCGAGGTGTCCCTCGACACCCGAGCCGTGCAGTCCTTCGCCCCGTTCCGAGCCTCCCTGCACCGAGTTTGCCAGTGTGGTCACTGTCTGACTGCACACTCTCCAGGGCACCCGCTCTGGCCTTCAGAACTCCACCCTTCTGCCTGCTCCCAAGTTACAGGGTCATCAGGCCCAAGCCACAAGCAATCAAGTCACTCATGACAAGGACAGGCTCTGCAGATATAGAGAAGGTGCTGGAAACACGCTTGTTAACTGATGAGCGCCATACCCGTGATGAAGTGGAGTGCCTCTCAGCCTCATCTGGTCGAGCTCAGCCCTCAGTGCTTCGATGTTTAGTACAAGCTGATCCTACAAAATAGCAAACAACAGACATTGCAGCCACCAGTCAGGCTTGGACATCAGGACCATCAGCCTGAACAGTTACAGTTCCAAACAGTTTAACTCTGGGAACATTTCCTACAAGAGTCCTAACACAAACCCTAGCACTCAGAACAGCACATGAACGGTGTGAACACAGTGAATACAGAGCTGTGTATCAATCTGAGGGGATTTCTAGGAGGACACACACCAAGCCATCAACAACGACTGATCTTGTACAGGGCTGTGCGTGTGTAAACAATATCCACTGTCTACAATGTGTGTCTGTTTCAAATGGTCTCACAACAAACACACACTCACTCAAGCAGCCCTGGCACGCCTGATCTCATTTCTGTATGGGGTAAAACAAGTGAAGTACAGTAAGTTTTGATTAAATCACCAAATCACCTTCCAGACCTGTGATGTCTAATTCATTCACCACTCACCACATGGGGCCATTGAGCAATAACATGGGGCCAGTCCAAACTGAGATGGACTGTGAGTACAGGATACGGTGGAGGACAATACAGATGCACTCTAACTGTAAAATACAGCAGAGGCCAACTGAGATGTGTTGTAATAGTAAAATACTGAGAAGGCCAACAGAGATGTGCTGTAACTGTAAAATACGGGGGAGGGCAACTGAGATGAACTATGACCAAAAAATACAGTGGAGGCCAACTGAGATGCATTAGAACCATAAAATACAGCGGAGGCCAACAGCGGAGGCTCAGGCCAACAGAGACACATTGTAACAGTAAAGCACAGTGGAGGCCAACAGGGATGCATGCACTATAACGGTAAACCACTGTGGAGTCCAAAGACTTCATTAAGAAGGGGGAAAAAGTCAAAGAGCTCGTTAATTTTTGTATCAATTACATGAGGAAATGCTAACATTTTGACATTCAGATTTAAATAAAATAAAGGTCACCTATCTCTTTTTACTCTTATAAAAGCGGCTAGCAGAGAATTTACAGCTGCATGTGTGACACATCTTCAGTATCTGTCAGACAGACTCTTCTCCATGAAAGGTCCCTGCTCATGGGTCAGTTTCTAATAAACCCAGCAAGGCCTCAGACCCTGAACCAGACCTACTGTCACAGTCTCTCAATACGTCTAGAGGAGAATGCCTCCCACATGCACACCCAGGAGCGCTACAAGCATGGTGTTGAGTGGCTGTGACAGATAACACGGTTTAGCTCAACATCCCGACACCCACAGTCATCGTGCCCAGGGCCAACGAACACAGTGCCACCTCAGCTCTCAGCACAACCCCAGGTGAACAAGAGGGGACTGAGTACCTTATCGTGTTGCGTTTCCTCCAACTGCTTTTTCGCATTTTCAACTTCCCGTAATAGAGAATTCTGGAAAAGATATGATTCTTTAGTGTTGCTTCTTTAAATGTTCCAGGTAGTATAGCTGCATTTCTGTGTGTTTGTGTGTTTTTAAAATAGGACTTGAGAAAAAGAATGGATCACACGACCTCCTAATGGGCAGTGCCACATAGCCATGGAGCGGCACGCTGACAACCAGGCACTAATAACCACCACCATTTTCCTTACGCTGTAAATCGACCTCCCCACTGCCTGAACTTTCTAAGTGAGATATGCCAAGTTCATGGTAAAAGTCCTTTAGTCAGTTAAACTGGTTTAACTTTCAGGTTTTACAGTGCATTGGTCACTTGGGAACCCTACAGTTAAGCTTCAACATACAACTCAAATGCTCAAAGATAAACGTTCCAACTTCAAGGGTGGACCGCTGATTGAGTTAAGACTAATTATGGTCTGACAGTGGGGCGCTAGTGGCACAGTGGTTAAAGCATGTGGCTTCTACCCAAAAGGGCAGTGGTTTGCACCACCAGCCATTCCATGGGAGAAAGAAGAGGCTGTCTGCTTCCAGGAAGAGCTACAGTCTTGGAAACCCCGTGGAGAACCTCCTGTCCTCCGGGGTTGCTGAGTGGGAATCAACTCGACAGCACAGGGTTGGTGTTTTGAGATTCAGTGGTGTTTCCTAATGGGCTTCCGAGTGGGTTTTGTGTTAAAGCATATCACAATGAGTACTGATCACTGGTTTCTCTCAAATGAGCATGACCGCCACCCAAGTGTCAATCTGGAGACAATTTCTCAGCCTCATCTCAAGAGATGCCTGTGTGGTTAAAACAGACTCTGACAGTAGAGCTGACAAGGGACAAGGTTGTAGTCACTTTTTGGTCACAGCCAGCTACCCAGAGGGACCAAGTGGTTAAACCTGTGGGCTTGGGACCACAGTCACAGGGGACATCAAGCTCAACTGGCATAACATACTATACAAAACACTGTTCCACCTCCTACTTTGGCGAGTAGTGACTGGGATCTTAAAAGCTTGCAAGCAGCCATCTAGATGCAATGATGGGTCTCTCCTCATCCAGAGCAAAGAAGAATGAAAAAAAACAAAGATTCATGGAAAGAATTAGTCCTAGCAACCGGTACACCATGCGATCCACAGCCTATACGACTATGAGACCAGAACTAGATGGTGCCTGGCTACCACTGTCAACCACTCGGAGGGGGATCTCTGTAGGAGATCCTGAATAGAGAGGGAAAACAATGTGGAACAAAACTCAAAATCATTTGGAAAAAAAAAAAAAGGGGGACCAGGTTTGCTGGTCTGATAGAGCCTGGTGGAACCACTGAGACTATGGCCCCTAGCTGCCCTTCAGGTCTGGAATGGAACCCACACCTGTGGCTTCCAGCCAAACAAAAGACAGGCATAGGAGTTGAACATTTACATTAGGTAGATACACTCCTTGGAGAGAACAATCATGGAAGAAAGGTTGTGTGTGCACAGGGAGACAGCTCAGGGGACAGGAGTGCATGGAGGGATGGACACAGGGAAGAGGTAACTATTGGGAGGAAGTGGGAGGGGAGCTGTTGCATTGGGGTAAATTGTGGTCAATGTCATGACACAAAGTGTATGTGAACTGCTGTATGGAAAGCGAATTTGCTTTGTAAACTTTCACCCAAATCACAGTAAGAAAAAGAAAAAGAAAAACACTCTGACAAGTCCTAACGCCACTGTGGCCCAGAGATTCCAGGGAGGTGCTGCTGGCTCATTCTGGTTCTGGCTGAAGCACCTCCACGGTCAGAACAGTGCCACTCCTGGCTCAGACTTCCTCCAAACCAAATGGAAGAGCGGCAGACAGGAGACCATGTTCTCAGTTCCATCCTTTTCCTTCTTACCACACTGCTCTGGAGTCATGCTTCTACACAAGACAGAAGTTCACTCGCAACGTCAGAGCAATGAAGGCATGGGGACTGGGCCAAAGAAGCTTCCTGAGCAGGAGATGGCAAACTAAGGCCTGCTGGACAACTCAGGCCCACTACTCGTCTCTGTAAACAAAGCTTTATTGGAACACAGCCACGCCCGTTTATTTACGGACATTCAGTGGCTGCTTTCATGCTGCAAGGGTGGAAATGAATCAAAGTCCAAAGTGCCCATGACCTGGTCCTTTGTGAAAAGGGTTGGTTAATTCCTGTGCTGCAGAATAAGACACAGTGAACTCCTTACACACACACACGGGCAAGGACGCGGCCAATACAATGCAGTGACTGCACAGCAGTGGGTAGTTCGCTCTCTTTCAGAAACAATCTCTGTTTTCCTGAACGTCAGTTACCCACGCTGATGAGTCAGGAGTCCCTCCCAGAGCTGGGCAGGACTGACAACTGTGGACGGGGGAAGCCTTCATGCTGCGAGCACCGCACCTTGTCTTCCAGAGCCGCCATCCTCTCTTTAAGGTGGAGTTGAAGCCTCTCGTTCGACTCAGAAAGAAGCTTGTCAACTGTGTCTGATAAACGCTTATTGTGTTCTTCATTCATTTTCTCTCTCTGCCTCGCCTACAAAAGGAGAATCAAAACTCATAAATGTCAAGTGAACGTCATCAGTATTCTGAGTACGAAGGATGAGCAGTGTGATTACAGAGGCCCTCGTGCCCAGGTGCTGTCTGGCCCAACATCCTTAGCGGACCTGTGCCCAATTACCAGGGTTGATTCCCACATGGAGTGAGACGAAAGGACAAGTCTTCCAGGGAACACGTGATTAGAAGGCCCCGCTGCTTCCGTTAAGCCAGGCCTGCACGGGCCCTCAGGGCCTTAGGCGTATGGTGGCTGTGAACTGTGAACGGGCATGGCCTGAGAGAGCAAGCTGATGTCCAGGAGCCATGAGTTTGTGAATGGACCAGCTCATGTGCACCCTGGTGGAGGGATTTTCCTTTGAGCAAATAAAAGCTTAAGTCTGCATTCAGGACAAAAAAATGAATTTAATTTACAAAACAAAAGTGAAAATATGAATTTTCAAATGATCAGTGGACCTGTAAATAAACTAAAAGGTACTGAATTGTAAATGCTGGATGGGAGAATTGTATGGTATGTGAACACTCTCTCGATAGAGTGGTAATTATAACGGCCACTAGCTATTCATCACCTAAAACACTCAGAGGGACAGGCAGACTCCCCAGTATTTTCCTTTGTACCGCGCAGAGCTTTAATCTTCCCTAATGAAAAGTTTTATTAAAAAATTATAGATAATTGCCGAGTAACTTAAAGCTGATATATCTGTGTTTTGCTGCTGCTATTGTTACTAGGAGCCGTCGAGTCAGTCTTGACTCCTAGCAACCCTCCGTGTCCCAGAACCACCCTCCTGTACCGGGTCCTGCACCACCCTCAGCCACTGCCATGCTCGAGCCCACTGTTGTTGCCACTGTGCCAGTCATCCTGTTGAGGGGCTTCTTCTTCGCTGACCCACTGCTTCACAAGCAGGATGACCTTCCCCAGGGACCGGTCCCTTCTGATCACACGTCCAAAGTATGTCTGACGAAGTCTCACCATCCTTGACTCTAAGGAGCACTCTGCCTGTGATTCTTCAAAGGCGAGTTGCTTCACTCTTAGGGCATCCATCGTACCTTCAATAGTCTTCCCCAACATCATTCTCCTTGAGTCTTCCTCACTCATCGTCCAGCTTTCACATGTGTATGAGGTGACTGAAAGCACCAAGGCTTAGGTCAGGCGCACCATAGTCTTCAAAGTGACATCTTTGCTCTTTAACACTTTAAAGAGGTCTTCTGTAGCAGATTTGCACAATACAATATGTTGTTTCTTTTCTTGACTGCTGCTTCCAAGGGTGGTGTTTGTGGATCCGAATAAAATGAAATCCTTGATGACTTCACTCTTTTCTCCGTTTATTATAATGTTGCTTATTGGTCCAGCTGCAAGGATGCTGTTTTCCTTGCACTGAGGAGTAATCTGTACTCAAAGCTACGGTCTGCTCTTCATCAGTAAGCGCTTTAAGTCTCCTCACCCTCAGCAAGCAAGGCTGTGCCATCTGCGTCCTGCAGGTTGTTAATGAGCCTTCCTTCAGTTCCAATGCGGCATTCTTCTTCATACAGCCCAGTCTCCTGGATTATGTGCTCCACATATAGATCTAGTAAATAGGGTGGAAGGATATAACCCTGACGCACCCCTTTCCTGATTTTAAACTATGCAGTATCCACTTACTCTGTTTGAACAACTGCCTCTTGGTTTATGTACAGGCTGCACATGAGCACAATTAAATGGTCTGAAATTCTTACTCTTGTCTATGTTTCTCATAACTATTAATGATCTACATAGACAAATGCCTTTGCAGAGTCAATAAAACACAGGTAAACCTCTTCTCGGTATTTTCTGCTACAGCCGAGATCCACCTGACATCAGCAATGATACCCCGCACCCTTTTCTGTATATGGCTTGAATTTCTGGCAGTTCCCTGCCAATGTTTTTTAAATTATGCCGCAAGCATTTTTGAAATATATTAAGCAAAATTTTACCCAGGTGTGCTGGGTAATTTCTACACTGTGGTGAATCACTTTTCTTTGGAATGGACACAAATAATGATCCCTTCCAGTCAGCTGGCCAGGTAGCTGTCTTCCAAATTTCTTGGCACAGATGAGTGAGCACTTCCAGCACTGCACCCATTTGTCTGAACATCTCAGTGGACAGCCCATCAATGCCTGAAGCCCTGCTTTTTGCCATATCTTCAGTGCAGCTTGGACTTTCCTTCAATGCCATCAGTTCTTGATGATCTGCTACCTCCTGAAATGGTTGAATGTCAACCAATTCTGCTTGGTACAACCACTCTGTGCATTCCTTCCATCTGCCCTTGATGCTTCCTGCATCACTCAATATTTTGCCCATGGAATCCTTCAACATTGCAACTCGAGGCTTGAATTTTTTTGTCAGCTCTTTCAGCTTGAGCAATGCCGAGTATGGTCTTCCCTTCTGATTTTCTGACTCCAGGTTTTTGCACATTTCATTATACTTCACTTTGTCTTCGCCAGCTGGCCTTTGAAGTCTTCTGTTGAGGTCTTTTATTTCATTTCTTCCATTCACTTTAACTACTCCCCATTCAAGAGCAAGCTTCAGAGTCTCTTCTGACATCCATTCTGGTCTTTTCTTTCTTTCCTGGCTTTTTAACACCTTTTGCTTTCTTCACGGATGATGTGCTTAGTGCCATCCCACAACTCCTCTGCTCCTCTTGGTCATTAGTGTTCAATGCAGCAAATCTGTTCTTCAGATGTCTCTCAATTCAGGTGGGATATACTCAGGGTCATATTTCGGCTCTCATGGATTAAAATCAAATTTTTAAGTTTCTTCAGTTTCAACTGAACCTGGCATATGAGCAACTGAAGGTCAGTTCCAAAGTCGGCTCCTGCCCTGTTCTGACTGATACTGAGCTCCTCAGTCTCCTCCACAAAGGCAGCTGGTCTGACTCCCGCGTATTCCACCTGGCGAGGTCCACGCGTATAGTCATCACTTATGTGCCGAAGAAAGGTATCTCCAACGAAAAGGTCATCGGTTTTGCAAAATTCTACCATTCAATCCCTGGTGTCATTTCTATCACCAAGGGCCTATTTTCCAACTACTGCCCTTCTGTGTTTCTAACTTTCACGTTCCAATCATCAGTACATCTCAAGTGCATGTTTGGTCAATTTCAGACCGCAGAAGTTGGTAAAAATCTTCAATTTCTTTATCTTTGGCTTTAGTGGTCAGAGCATAAATTTGAATAATACTTGCATTAACTGGCATTCCTTGTAGGCATAAGGATGCTACCCTATCACTGACAGCATTGTACTACAGGACAGACCTTGAAATGTTCTTTCAGTGGTGACTGTGACGCCATTCCTCTTCAATCTGTCATTCCCAGCATAGTAGGTCATATGACTGACTGTCTGATTCAGAATGGCCAATACCAGTCCATCTCAACTCACTAAGGCCTAGGATACCCATCTTCAAACGTTCCATTTCACCTTTGACAACTTCCATAAAACCATCATTGGTATCATGATTTAAAAACCCTTTCTTATTTCTTCAGCCCCACATTCTGAGTAAACACAGGTGACACCTGGAAGGCAATAGGAAGTGTGAGCAAGCAGCATGCGTGCTGGGTCTCTGCTCAGGACTGCCCTTGCCCTCAGCCCAAGGGTGTCTGCCAGGCTCAGGGGTGCCCCGGGCCAGAGCTCAGTACACACAGGCCCTGATGCTCGAGGAGGAGCGCGCTGCCACAAGGCCTACCCCGTGATTTTGGCCTCTGACCACCCTTCTGCACTTGGGCTCCTCATCTTACAATGCGGTACTGACATTTCCAACTTAAGGCCGGTGTGAGAATTAAATACAAAGCCCTCATACTAACGCCTGACCCCTAGCAACCAGTGTCAGCTAAGGAACCCAACGACAGCACACAAGACAGCCCTTCAGCTAAGAAAGCAGTGCTTATTGTCCACCGGGATCTGAATATTTTTGAAGTTAAACATTTCCTTTAATTGCCTTAGTTACAAACATTGTTCCTACTACAACACTTGTTCCTCAAAACTCTTGTCAATTGTTCTAAAAGTAATGAAGTATCTCCCCGTAATACAGAAAGCTGTAGTGCTCTGATTACGAGGTGAACGTGCAAGTGACAAGGGGAATCACTTCACATAAGTCAGACCCTTCCTCCTCTCCTGGAGCTGGAGTCTCTGCTGCTCACGGCCAGGAGTGTAGACTTCCGTTGGCCTTGACCTCGTGCCTGGCAGCTCGCTGAGGGAATGCGAGGGCTCTTTCATTAGATGCTGCATGCGTCCTCTCTCTACCCCCATGTGAGAGAAACCATCAGAGACCAGGCCTGGTGGCAGCCAGACCAGAAATTGCTTTTGACTGCGTCTCGTTTCCTGGATACTCTGCAACTGACATGCGCCCCACACTTTCAGAGAAAACTCTCTTACGACCCAGCCAACCAGGCCTCCCCATCAAGCCCTTTCAGTGCTCTAGGTCTATCCCAGCTCAGCTGCCCTCTTCTCAGGAACACCGTCCCTGTGTAGCGTTATATTTGGGGTAACAACTGGATGTTCTAGGAGGGAGGTTAGCCCATGACCTAGATTTGGCACTTCAGAGCCATCTCCTGAGCAAGCTGACCACTCACCTGGAACGACAGGCTTTATGTTGCCTCTCGGTGACCACAGGGATCAGGGTGAGCCCAAGGCCCAATCTGAGTGTTCCTGGACTTGTGGCCCCCACAAGGATCAGGGTGACCCCAAGCCCCCACCTGAGTGTCCTTAGACTTGTGGCCCTGCCGCCTGCGTCACCTGTGGGCCCGTGTTCTTCTGCTGGTACCAGCATCAGCAAAACTGACGTGGTGTGCGTGAAGAGGACGCAGCAGCAGCAGGGAGCTGACAGGTGAGAGCACGTAATACACATGCCAACAGGACCCAAGCTGGAGGAGCGCCACCCGTGGCACAGCCCCCTCACCCACACTGGCGGAGCACGTACCCGCTGCAGCTCCTGGTTCTTCTCCTCCAGTTGCACCTCCATCTGCCGCAACCGCTCCTCAATGTTGCCATGTCTCTCTTCAGCCTGCCGGCAAGAGCAAGGCAACTGTGAACTGACAATCGGAGCTCACCAATGACACACTGCTCTACTACAGCAGCAACAAGCACAACACGCTAGGCGGCAACCACTGCGGCACAGGCAGCGCCCACTCACGTCCGGTGGCACAGCCTCGGTGGCACAGGCAGCGCCCACTCACGTCCGGTGGCACAGCCTCGGTGGCACAGGCAGCGCCCACTCACGTCCGGTGGCACAGCCTCAGTGGCACAGGCAGCGCCCACTAGTGTCCGGTGGCACAGCCCCGGTGGCCTGGTGCTGCCCCGTGAAGCAACAAACCCAGTCGTGCTCTTGGTCTGTGGCATGGTGACCACTGAAGCGGAAAAACACGTGCCTTCTGCCCCGCCCCCTGGCAAATCCCCCCATCTCTGGCCCCACCCCAGGACTGTTAGTCAGCACCAAGAGCAGAAAGCGGCAAGCACAGGCAGGGCAAGGTGTGGGGTCTACCTTCCTAAGCTGGGAAGTAAGTTCGAACAGTTTAGCTTCTTTAGCAGCACAGCTTCCAGAAGACAAAACGTCAGACTAGCAACAAGCCGACAAGGGGCAGGAGAGTGACGGGGGAGAAAGAAACCAAGACTTTAAAAGCAAATCACAGAGGGAGCAGGAAGGGTCTGTGACAGCTGTTAGTGATCGCCTCGCTCCAACGAGTAGCCTGTGCGGCCCCGGACACTGTCCGCACCCCACGTCCCCTTCACCAACAGGGGCCTGGTTCTAAGGGGCCCTCTGTGCCCCGGCCCTCAGCAGCGGCTCACCATGCTCTAGCCAGGCAAAACAAGACCACTCACAGGTGCTCCCTGCCCTGCCAGCCCTGCTCGGGCTGTGGCCTGGCCAAGAACACGCTCCCAAGCCCTCTTCCTGGCCATGGCCCACTGACACCACAGGGCTCAGCCAGGCCTCACCAGCAGCTTTGTCTGGAGCCCAGGAAGCCTGGGCTACCACCCTGCTACTTGTTTCCGGAGCCTGCTGTAGGGCCCATTGCATCACTGCAAAATTGCCTGCTAGTGTGTCCTAGGGAACAAGGAGAACTCTAAAGGGCGGGGACTGTGGCTAGACCATGCTTGCTGGCCCAATGAATGTGTAAATTACTGAAAATTGTACGCGTTACATGTTTATTTCTATTTTCTTTAAAAGGAGATGGTCTTTTCCAATTTGGGAGAAAAGCCTCCCTCATTTTACACAAAGCTTCTGTCCCAGGCTCTGAGTTTTTGACTCAGCGCTTAGCTCAAGAGTACCATGGACAGACAGCATGCAGCTGAGAAATCTGGAAGGCCGTTAACTCAGGAATGACGGGTAGGGAAACGTCCCACACTGACAAAGCCCCGCCCTCCCCGACACAGCAGCACCACGAACTGATCTGTGCTACATGTGGCCACAGGCACACTGAAGTAAGACCAAGGGTGACACGGCACACGGACAAGTCACAACCAAGGTGGAGAGCCCCGTGTGGGCCCCGGAACTAGACGCAGGCCCCACCTTGGACAGCGCGGCCACACGCTGCGCCAGCTCCGCCTCCACCTCAGGCAGGGTCTCCGCTTTGCGCAGCGTCTGCTGCAGCTTCTGCTCCGCCAGCTCCAGACGCTCCTGCAACTGCCGGTTCTTATCCTCGGTCTGCAAAGTGAACGCAAAGCATCACGCAGCAGCCCACTCACCACTCTCACCGTGTGTAACACACGGAAGCAAAACCTCAAGCAGTCGTGTTCTAACTTAGCTCCGCTGGGAGCAGCCCCGGTCTGAAACCAGCTAGGGGTAAACCTTCTCCGCCAGCTGGGAGGATGGTACACAACACCTTTAGCCGGAGTTTCTGCTTTCCCTAAGTATCTTACCGGAAGCTCCCCTCTATAAATAAAGGCTCCCACGTGCTATGGGAATTTGGTTTCCTGCTGAGGTTTACTCATTCGCACTGGTAAGTTACGGTAAGAAGGGCTCAGTGCCAACTCTCCTTCAAAAATCACCGGGTGTGCTGGTGGAAGCAAACACAGCTTGCAGCTAGCTGTCTGCCACGTACATTTAGGGCAAGAGGCTGGCTATTCCAGTCCCCTCCCAAAGGAGCTCTGTGTAGAGGACCCCTAGCAAAATGCTGGCCAAGGCATCTCAATTATACAGGTTATTCCTTCTAAAAACCCTCTCGCTCTAAACAAACACCTCAATGCAGAAAGTATAAAAAAAGACTTAAAAAAAGAGAAAACTTTAAGCATTAGCTCGCTTCAGGCTCCTGGGGGGTTACCATCGAACTGTACCCAGCCTCTCTTCCCTGTGTGCGTGTCTCCACACAGGCAGACCTCGCTTTACTGCTCTTGCTTTATTGCACTTCACAGACGGTGAGTTTTTTACAAATGCAAGGTCTGTGGCAACCCTGCGTCAAGCAGGTCTGTCGTACCATTTTTCCAACAGCACGTGCTTCCTTCCTGTCTCTGTGCCACAATTTGGTCATTCTCACAGTGCCACAAACTTTTTCACAAAGGGATCACATACTAAATAGATTACAACAGAGTATAAAGATAACTTTTCCGTGCACTGGGAAAACAAACATCTGTGTGACTCGCTGGTTGCGACACTCCCTTGATTGCACTTGTCTGCGCTAAGCCACACCTCTTACTTTAAGCAAGTAAGCAAACTATTACACTGAAACCCACTACAAACTACACCACAGTGCAGGCACCACAGGAAGTACCCAACTTAGGGTGCACTCGAGTCGTGGTGACTACACGCCATTGCTTTTCTGTACATCGCACCATCAGTGATACACACCTCGTACAACATTACAGCATGTAATGTGCTGATGTTTTCATTCTCAAATATCGTGCTCCCATCCCCCAAAGACAAAGGAAGATTGGATTTATAAAGACACTGACAACAAAAGGCAAAAAGGATGAAAATTTAAGAAGAAAACGTACTCGTCTCACCCCAGAACCAACTGACCATGGAGTCATCATTGGAACAAAGCCTCAGTAGTGGTCAGGAACGACCTGTTTCGTAATCTGCCTTTTCCAGCCCTCTTTAGTGTGAGTATCTTACGTGTCATTAAATATCATACACATCATTTTTAATGGCAGCCTAGTATTTCATTCTTCATCTCTATAGAATGCCCAGCTCGCTCTCTCGTCACGTAGCCTGACTGTGGTTTTCCTGGTCAGCGCTTCCGTCTGACCCAAACCAGCAGCAGGGGCCAGTGTGGCTGGCCAAGCCGCAGGAGGTACCGGCTCCGCCACAGCTATTTCTGACTCTGCTGTCTACCAGCAGGTCCCCAGTTACCACCAAGCAGCCACACCGCCCCCCCTCTCGTGGTTCTTTGCCACTCTAGGCTCCTAGCCACTGTCTGCTCAAAATGCTCACAGGTGACTGTGAACTTTCAATTACAACCAAGTAATAGGAACGAGGAAAAGAATTCCAGGGTGCGGCTACCATCAAGTCAATGCCAACTTGCAGCAATCCCAAATGGCAGAGAACTGCCCACTGGGACAAACTCAGGTTACCAAGTTCACCCCCTTCTACATAACACGACAAAGAGTCCTCATAAGGTGCCCAGCATTATAAGGAAGACGGTTTGCCTCAACTCCCAGGGCTGGAATCCTTACACAAGCAGATCACCAGGTCCTCCTCCTGCAGAGGGGCTAGTGGGTTCAAACTGCCAATCTTTCAGTTAACAGTCAAGCACTTAATCTCTGCACCACTAGGCCTTCCTGCAGCTCTACAGAGCAGTTCAATCAGATCCTAAAGGGTCCACAGGTATAATCAGAGACAACCCCGACTTCTTAAACACAATACTCAAAAGATCATGCAAGCTTTACATTTGACTTGATTTCCAAGTACAAGGCCTCTGGCGTCATCAGACCTCCCTGGGAAAAGCCAGGCAGTGCCCGCTGCACTGTTACCTGCCGATGCAGAGAGTCTTTGTTTGCAATCTCATTTTCAAGTTTATCATTGAGGTCATGCACAGACGTGGCTTCGCGCTGTGCAGCGAGGTAGCGTTTTTCAAGGGTAGTGATTCTCTCTTCCATGTCTTCCTTTTGGGCCAGGGCCTAAGTTGGGTATTTCAGAGAAATTAAAAAAAAAAAGTGATTAATATTCCTCAAATCAAATATAAAATTGGCATGCTCAAAATTAAACTGATAGAGATGCCAATATTCTCAAAGGTGAACAAAAATGTCCTACCTCAAGTACAATAAATATTCACCGATCCAATTACAAAGACTCGTCCGGCAACTCAGGTTACCAAGTTCACCCCCTTCTACATAACGTGACAAAGAGTCCTCATAAGATGCCCAGTATTATAAGGAAGATGGTTTGCCTCAACTCCCAGGGCTGGCACAGGCAGAACTGGGCTCTTCACAGCTACAACAGTGACACACAAGGCGTGCAAGTTGGATGGAACCGCAGCCCAGCACCCAGACGCAAGTGCACACGCAAACACCCACAGAAGTCAACGTTTCTCTGAAAGCAGCCTCCTCAAGTCAGATTCTCTCACGATCTCAGGGTCCATGCATCAAATATCAACAGTGGGTCGGGATTGCTCGCCTGGAGTGGTTCTGCTCCTTTGTTCCCCAAAACCACTGCTTTAAGGTGCTTGCCTGTTTATGAAACGACTAAGGGCTGACAAGTCTCACGATTAAAAATGACAGGTTTTCTATACAACTATAAGACCAGAAGAACTAGATGGTGCCCAGCTACCACTGCCATCCACTTGGAAGGGATGTAGAAGATCCTGCATAAAGAGGGAGAACAATGTGGAACAAAACTCAAAATCGTTTGGAGACAAAAAAAAAAAAAAAAAAAAGAAGGTGGGGACCAGGTTTGCTGGTCCAATGGAGCCTGGTGTAACCACTGAGACTATGGCCCCTAGCTGCCCTTCAGGTCTGGAATTGAACCCACAACTGTGGTTTCCAGCCAAACAAAGTACAGGCATGTGAGTTAAACATTTACCTCAAGTAGACACACGCCCTGGAGAGAACAATCATGGGAGAAGGAAGGGCTGCTTATGCACAGGGAGATAGCTCAGGGTGCAGAAGAGTATGAAGGGATGGACACTGGGAGGAGGTAACTATGGGGAGGAAGTGGGAGGGGAGCTGCTGCATTGTAAATTTTGGTCAATGACATGAGACAAAGTATATGTGAACTGCTGTATGAAAAGTGAATTTACTCTGTAAATCTTCACCCAAATCCTAATAAAAAAAAAAAAAAAGAGAGACAGGTTTTCAAAGAATTTCACAATTCTCTGCACCGACTGGGGTCTGAAAGCTTATGAGCGGCCATCTAAGATGCAACATTTGGTCTCTCTTCATCCACAACAAAGAAGAAAATCAAGGACACATGGGAACAATCAGTCCAAGGGACTAGTGGACCATGTGAACCTCAGCCTACATGATCCTGAGACCAGAAGAACTAGATGGTGCCTGGCTACCACTGCCAACCACTCAGAAAGAGATCAAAATTGGAGATTCTGGACAGAGGGGAAGAAAAATGTAGAACAAAACTCAAAATCATAAAAAAGACCAGGGTTACTAGTCTGATAAAGACTGGTAAACTCCCAAGACTATGACCCCCGTCTTTAAAGAATGTTGCTAAATCCCGTGCGCCTAGAACTGAACTCAATCCTGTGGCTTCCAGTCAAACTCAAATAATAGGTGAAGAATTACACCAGGGAGGTGCACTCCTTAGAAAAGTCAAGCACGGGAGATCAGAAGGGCAGCATTTGCACAGGGAGACAGCTCAGGGGGCAGGAATGCACAGGAAAGAAGGACACAGGGGAAACCACAGGCAGGAAGTAAGAAGAGAGCTGTTACACTGTGGGGATCACAGTCAATGTCATGAAACAAAATGTGTATGAGCTGCTGTGTGGAAAATAAATTTGCTCTGTAAACTTTCAGCCAAATCACAATTTTTTAAAAAATGTCTTGCATATTAAACTCTACCACATAAATAATCTTCTATTGCTTTGAAGAATAATACAGAGTTAAATTAAATACACAAATGGCTTTGTCTGCTCTGAGGCCTTCTGTGGAATGACTTACAGAGCATACAGACTGCAAGCCAACCTGTCTGCACAGGCTTTAAGCAGTCAGGAGCGTCACTGGGGACAGAGGACAGGCTAGAACGAGACAACCCACAGGAGCATGGGTCCAGCCTGCCTCTGCTGCCACGTGACCATGGGAAAGTTCTTCGGCGGGCCTTCTAAACACGGGTGACTCCAGCAGCGAGCACACCTCTGCCCAGGGAAGCACACGCAACCGTTCAACCCACAGCCGGTCCACCGCCTTGAGCGTGAGTGACTCCTACACTCACTCAGTGCCACACATCCCTGGGGGAGCAGCAAGTCAGAAACCGAGAAGACCACCAGTCACGCCCCCAACACAGTCCACAGACCAGCCCCCCAGCCCCGAGGGGACAGTGACTCGTTAGGTTAGAATCCAAAGGAAATCTGAACGTAACGAAGAACAGCGTAGCCCAGCCATTCACAGATGAGCAGACGCGTCTGAGAAGGAGCAGTCCCCCAACCAGGGAATGAGGCAGGGACGAGGTCCGAGGAGCACCAGTGGGAAGGGCTGACTGCATGCCCCACCCAGCGCCCAGTGAGTCTGCTCCACCAACACTCTTGTCCTGTAGTAACTGGGATAAAAGGAAGCGTCACCATAAAAATGGGCCACTCGGCACAGTTTCATTTCTCTGTGACTTATGTAACAGTCCAAAGGCTGAAAGCAAGTGGGAGAGCGGAGGCAGCAACAACCAGTGAGCTCCGCCCCAGCACCCCACCACAGGCGCACCCACCTCCCAGCAGCAGCCAATGAACCGACCCCAAGCACCCCTCCCGCGAGCACTCACTTCACGGACGTCCCTCTGCAGCTTCGTGTTCAACTCTTCCGACTTGATGAGATCCTTCCTGGCGGTGTCTAGGTCTTCCTCCAGTTCGCTGACGTGGCTGGAGAGGGAGGCCAGGCGCTCCTTCATCTGGCTCTGCTCTCGGGACTGCTTGTCAATGACATCCTGCAGCTCCACCACCTTGGCGAGGTCTTCCTCATGGTTCAGAGAGCCGTCCGAAGACCTCTGCTGAAGACAAACAGCCTGCACTAGCCCAGCTTGTGAGCCAGGAAATAAAACACTTGGGTGAAATGAGTACAGTCACAGTCAAACCAAGCAAACTACCAGATCACTCAGCTTTCAGGACTGCTCGAGCCTAAGCAAAGGTGCCAAGGATTTCATTTCACTTGGATGCACTATCAATACCTATGGAGCAGCAGACAAGAAATCAGATGACAACTTCAGGAAACTGTAACAGATGTACATATGGAAGACATCCCATGCTTGTGGACAGGAAGAGTGAACACTACGAAAATGTCAATACCACCCAAAGCAATCTATACATTCAATGCAATCCCAGTCCAGATCCCATCAACATTCTTTAAAGACATGGAAAAACCAATCACTAATTTTATATGGAAAGGAGAGAGACCTCAAATAAGCAAAGCACTACTGAAGAAGAACAAGGCAGGAGGTCTCACACTCCGGGATTTCAAAACCTAGTCTACAGCCACAGTAGTCAAAACAGCCTGGTATTGGTACAATGACAAGACACATGAGCAGTGGAACAGAATTGAGGACCCAGAAACAGATCCATCCACCTATGGCCAGCTGATCTTGACAAAGGGCCAAAATCCATTAAAAGGGGAAGAGACAGTCTCTTTAACAAATGGTGCTAGCAAAACAGCATATCCATTTGCAGAAAAATCAAACAAGACCCATACCTCACACCAAGCTTTACTGGAACAAAACTCAAAATCATAAAAAAGACCAGGTATACTGGCAGAGATCATGGCCCTACTTACCCTTCAGACCTGGAACTGAACTCACTCTTGTAGCTTCCGGACAAACAGACATATAAAGTGATCATTTACACCAGGGAGGTGCACTCCTTAGAACAACCAACCACGGGGACCAGGGCAGTATTTACATAGAGAGACAGCTCAGAGGGCAGGAATACACAGGAAAGGACACAAGGAAAAGGTAACCACAAAGAGGAAGCAGGAAGAGAGCTGCTACATCACAGAGATTGCAACCAACGTCATGAAACAAAATGTGTGTGAATTATTGTCTGTAAAGTGAACTTGCTCTTTAAACTTTCACCCAAATCGCCAAAAAAAAAAAAAAAAAGAAAAAAGAAAGCAGAGGACATTTTGCACTGGGTAAATTTGCTGCAAAAGACCTCTTTAAAGTGTAAAAAGCAAAGATGTCATTTTGAAGACTAAACTGTGCCTTACACAAACCATTGTAATTTCAATCGCCTCATGTTGTTTGTTGTTGTTATGTGCTATCAAGTCAGACCCGACTCATAGTGCCCCTCCTTGGGTTTCCAAGGTGGTATCACTATGGAAGTAGATTGCCCACCCTTCCTTCCGAGGAGTGGCTGGTGGGTCATATGTATGTGACAGCTGGACAATGAATAAGGCAGACAGTAGAAGAACTGATGCCTTAGCACTGTGGTGCTGGCAAAGAATACTGAAAATACCACGGACAGCCACAAGAACAAACAAATCTGTCCTGGAAGAAGGCCAGCCAGAATGCTCCTTAGAAGCACAATGGCCAGGCTTTGTCTCATGTGGTCTGGTCATGGTGTCAGAAGGGCCCAGTCCCTGGAGAAGGACAGCGTGCTCGGTAAAGCAGAGGGTCAGGGAGAAAGGGAAGACCTTCAGTGAGATGGACTGACCCTGTGGCTGTAGCCATTGACTCAAGTATGGCAAAGATGGTAAGGATGGCGTGGGCCAGGCAGTGTTTCGTTCTGCTGTACCCAAGGTCACTATGTGCTGGAGCCCACTGATGGCCCCTTACAACACCACAACGAGCTTAGGCGCAAGCTTTGTCAACAGCGTCCCGAAGAGCCCCACTGTGTGCTGCGGCCACACGCCGTGAGGGGAGGTAGGAAGGGGGAGCCCCAAGGACCCGACTTGCCTTTCCATTGGTGCTTGGTGCATTTTCTTGCTCGTGGTTCATGTCAAGCACCCCATCTGGTAGCGTTTTTTTCTGGTTATTCTGTTCTTTCAGGATCATTAACTAAAACCAGAAATTGAGTATGAGAGTAAAACACCTTACTTAAAAGAAGCAGGTAAAGAAAGCAAACTCCTTTTGAAAAAATCCAACTGTAAACTGCCCAACTCAGTCCAGGCTGGGGGGAGAGCAACGTTGTTTATCCTGATCTGCTCTGATTGTTAACAACAGAACTCTTCACCTCACTGGCAACAGGCACTTAAGTAGACATCGTGCTTAGGAGTCGGGTGACAGACCACAGTTCAGCTTAATTAATTAGTAAAGTATCTGCCCCGAGCACTGTCCTCTTTTAAGATCTATCTCTATGGGATCCAGTGGGCCACGGCAACTGAAAAGATGAGACAGGAAGCAGAGGGGCCTGGGAACGTATGTTCCCAGGGCGGGAACAACCCACAGGAGGAGGGTGAGAATGGCTGCAGGACTGGGAGGGTGTCACCGGTGCTGCTGAATCGTACATGGGGACACTGCTGAAACTGGTTCATATTCTGCTGTGCACATTTCCAATGACAACAAGTATAATTGTAAAAATACGAAAAAACAGCTACCAAAAAAACTGAAAGTTGTTTGAAATGACCTGCGTAGGCTGGTGGTCCACAACCAGAAAGATCCAAGACCTGGCTCAGTCCACCCGACTTGCCTCCACAATACCCACCGTGACTGTCTTCCTAGCTGGTTTAATTAAGGGATTCAACATGCTCAACCCTCCCGACACCCATCATGTGACAACTTGCTCAGCTTACCTCCTTATGGGTGGCACCTAATTCTTCTTCTAACAAACTACACCTCTCAAGTGCTACTCGTAACCTTTCTCTCACCTGGAAACAAAGGTTTGAGTTAGCATGTGTGTGTTTAATTTATTCTTACTCCGAACGTATGATTATTGTAATACCAACCAAACCAAACCCCAACTCATAGCGTCCCTATAGAACAGAGTAGAACTGCCCCACAGTGTTTCCAAGGCTGTCAATCTTTACAGAAGCAGACTGCCACATCTTTCTCCCACAGAGTGGCTGGTGGGTTTAAACCACCGACCTCTCACTTACCACCAGAATGGTTTACCCACCGTGCACCAGGCCTCCATCAGCGGAATACAACGTTAGTACACTATAACACTGGGGAGTACCTGCAATGTCTCCTAGGGACACTAGTGTCCAGAAAACTGTGTGTTAGTATGCTGTAACATAGGGGAGTACCTGCAATGTCTCCTACTGAAACTAGTGTCCAGAAAAGTGTGTGTTAATGGCTCTAAAGTTAGTCTGAGAAAGAGTTTCCCCGAATAAATGACCCAGTTCCTACCAGAACACAGTCTACAGACTGTCATCAGTGGAAGGTATGGGAAGCCTTTCCCACACGAGTCCTTTCCATTCCCAGTCCTTTCACCACACCATCCCTGACTTCTTACAGAGGAGCCTGGTGAGCTCACAGAAACCACAGAAGCTGCCAACATGACAGTCCTGCCACACAGGCGGCCCACACATAGGTCAGGCACTGGGACATGGCACATGGTACCTTCTCATCCAGGGCCTTGTGGTGCTCAAATAAGGACTTGAGCGCTTTGAGGACCTCGACTTCGCTGGACACGCCTGCCGGAGACTGCGCCTGCCTCTTCACCACGGTCATCCTGAGTGAGCGCTCGTGCCTGGACACCAGGCACTCCAGGTGCTCTAGTAACAGCTGAAAGGCAAGGCCAGGACGGACAGCGTGACGCACTTCAACTACATGTCTGCAGTGAGAGCAAGTGCCTGCTTTCGATCGCAAGCTACAACAGTGTGAATCCTCTCCACTCAGCCTGACACTAGAGAACCTCCCACAAACCTATCAACACAGCATTAACTCTCCTGGCAAATTTCCTCTCAGTAGGAAAATATATAAACATGTGCTCAAAACCAGGAGGAGCAGACCCAATCTTTCAGCTTCAAGCCCACAGCGCTGACCATGACCCCAGTCCAGGGGCCAGTCCTCAAGTGGCGGGGCCCCACTGACCCTGGTGTTGTTTCTTTCTGCTTTCAGTTCAGCGATTTCCTCTTCCCGTTCAAGGAGCTGCTCCCTGCACACGCTGAGCTCCTTCGTAAGTGCTGCAAACTCCTGGAAAACATTCAGAAGAGATTTGTCTGAATAAGACTGCTGGCCAGTGTCTACAGTCAACCTCAAGGCAGTCCCTGGCCCGGCCCGTGAGGGGCCTTGCGGTCCTCCCTGCAAAGAGGAGACCAACCGACTGCCTACGACTACGTAGATACCTAATGCCTCAGAGCCCAGACTCAAGCCATATACCTTCCCACCATCAGCCCTGGCACGAGCGCAGGGGCCAAAAGCATCAAGTGGCAGATCTCAGGCTGCAGGGCAAACATCCGGCTGCAGGACAGCCAAGCCCACCATCTCCCAATCCAGAGTTCCTGAACATGGATCCAGGCATGAAATGGATAAAGATATTTTTAAGTGACTCATAGACATGTGCTGGTAACGCTGTAAGGCACAGAAGGACCTGCCTCCGTCCCCAGCCTCCTCTTCTGGGCTAACTCCACCCTCATCTGGGAAGACTCAGGCCCAGAGTCCTCTAGGATACGGCTGGTGGTACCTCAAGATCAATCCCTGAGCACAATTTGCTCAAAGTCAATTATAGAAAAGGGACTTTTCAGAAATACCGGCAAGCCAAACACACAGCGTCGCCGTGAGGAACGTGCTCCCTCCAGCAATTAGCTGTAGGAGAACCCAACAGTCAGCGTTTCTCAAGAGCACAGGGGAGAAGGTGAGGAGGGCGGAGAAGCTCAGTCAGTATCACCAAACCCAAAAGAACAGAGAGGAGGAGGCCGCCGGCACGCTGGAAAACCCGTAACCAATGGCGTGGAACAACCTGTACAAAAATAGTCAAACCGGAGCCTAACCTGCTGGGTAACCTTTCACCTAAAACACGAGAAAATGTCATGAAAAAGAAAATACTGACAAGCCTTGTGTGGCAAGAGACGCTCTATGAGGGCTTCTTTATTTGGCCGAGCAGAAACGCCTCTAGAGAGTGCCACTGCCGAGAGCAGGCCCAGTGCCCGTTTCCCAAGGGTGCGAGCTAACACATTGATGGCAACCAACGCTCATGTGCACATGACACACATGTTCAAACAACACACACCCTCCCCACATGCACATGATGCACACCCTCCTCAGGGGCACACAACACACACCCTCACATACACGCTCACATGTGCACTTGCAGCCTCATATGAAACACACACCCTCACATGCACATGACGTATGTCCTCATGTGCATGCCGAACACTCTCCCATGACACAGCATACACACTCGACACCACACATACACGGCCAAAACAAAGGGATGCCCACACGCCCATCAGGTTTACACTGAAGCCCCCTCCTCTGAAATCATGGGTGCCATCGCTGGCAACGCTTCCTCCATTTCCACAGCTTTCTTTCTACGGAACAAGGCAGGGTCAAAGGTGCACCCACAGACAACCAAGCTGCCATTCAAAACATGGAAGAGAGGTGAACTCGGGCAGCTCCACCAACACCAGCTCCCAGTCAGGTGGTCAGCTGCAAGTTCACTCGTAACTCAGTCCCTGGCCAACGAGCCACAGAAGGACGCCGCCTATTAGAACTACCTGGACAAGGCTAGCCCGCAACACCCACGTGAGCCCTGAAGCAGAGCTGAGATGTGCACACCTGCCCGAGGAAAAGCAGCAAACAGCACTGCCACGGCCAGCACTGGGAGGGGTAAATTTACACTGTTTCTTTGTCTTAAATTCTATTTTGGGGGGAGAAGATGGGGAGGCCCATCCATTACAGAGCTACTGGGAAATTCCTGAAAGCAATCTGTGATACTTAATTTCATTTCTCAGCAAATACTAGTTCCTCGAGAATATGCCTGTGCCTACCTATGCCTAAAAGAAATAAGATAAAAAGAAAGGAAAACCAAAAACTAAATCACAGCCATAGACTCAGCGACCTTGCACGACAGAGTCGAGCTGGTCCACAGGGCGTCCAAGGTTGTAATCTTTACAGAACCTGACTGCTACCTCTTTCTCCCATGGAGTGGCTGGTAAATTCCAACCACCAATCTTTGGGTAGGCATCTGAGTACTTCACAACTGCACCACCAAGGCTCCAGAAAAAAAGTAAGATGTGTCCCAAGTGAGGTGTGTAGGGGACACCTCTTAGCAGTCAGCATTCATCTGCATGGGCCCACGTGCCTCTGGGAACTGTTTACACCCTCCCCGTGAGGTGGGCCAACTCCTAGTCTTCCGTGGTGGGCTCATGACTGAAAGACAACATGTCTCTCACCCAGGGTGGCGCTAGCTCAGCTCACCCAAATTCAGGTCAGGGACTTTCCTCACCCCCAGCCTGTGCTGCAAATCTGGGCAGATCTCTCAGCCCAACCCTCCAAGCAATCTTGTCTTTGACTATGTCCAGTGCAGGGTTCGTCATCCTGTTTCTTAGATTTCAAGTGGGTCTTTGTGCCACCCTCCTGCCCTTGTGCCGTTTCTGTCTGGTGTTCTGATTCCTTGTCTGCTGTGACAGATGCTTCCCTGAGCATCTTCCATACTTACACTACCGTTCCTGCCAGTGCAATGGCTCTGTGAGAAGGCCTCAGGATCGGACGGCTTCCATATTGTGGAACTGGGGTCACGTGTGCATCCTGGCTAGGGGGTTTGTGCTCTTGGCGCCCTGCTCCCTGCCGGGCTCACTCTGGAGCCAGGCTTGGCCATGGTGTTTCTGGCTCCTGCTGCACTGGCCACACTAGAGGTCATGCAGGCTTTGCAGGAGAACCAGCGGGAGCCAGCAAGTCCTGGCTGTGCTAACTACCCTCCACGGCCCATAACTTGCTAAAGGTACAGGAGACCTTAGGTGGAGACCCCACCTGAGCCTGGCTTCCAAGAAGGAGCCCTAACTGTAGTTCTAATTCCAGGAACATATCCGTCTTTATCATCCTAACCCTAAAGGAGCCAAGCTTCCCTCTGCCTGCCTGCTTTTCGCGTGAGCTTGGCAGGCCAGTGGAGTCTAGCCAGCTCATGCTACCACCGTGGGTTTCTATTCCATCTGTGACACTTAGGGCGACTTATCTTGCTTGGAGCCAGGCTAAGTTGTTGGGTTGCTTCCTCTCCATGGCTGTGCTTGAGCAGAAGAGGTGTGTCCAAACAAAGCTCTGCAGCCATCTTGACTGGAAGCCACAAGGCAATCGAGAAACAGTGTGACCATCGCCCATTTCCCACATCATGATGACTGCACACCACGGTGACCACAGTTAACACCACCAAACCATACACGTGAAAACAGCTGCGACGCCGCAGGCTGCTCAACAGCTGACCTTGAACGACGCAGGTTTGAAGCACATAGGTCCGCTTACACATGAACTTTTCCAAGACGTGGATCTTGGAGAAATTCAAGAGCAAACAGACACCCCAGCACAGGAATGAACACAAGACAGCCAGATGGGGACGAGCGCTCCTGAACCCGTGCAAACGGCGAGGAGGAAGACGCAGGAGCAGCCGTGCCCGAAGACACACTGACGTGCGGCAGTCCGGCAGAAGGCTGCCGGTATTCAGATTATTCAAGATCGCTACTGTTTCTTTCACAACACAGACTGTTCTGGGATCCGGCCACTGAAAGGAAAGCCAACGGTGGAAGAAGGATCGGTAGCCCAGAGAAACCTTTTGAGAGAAATGAGAAAGCAACCAAGTCAGACCAAAATGGCAACGTATTTCCGTAAAGTGCCGTCGCATGTGCCTGACGCTCCTTTCTCGCCTTCCACTCCCCCACCCCTTCTGTCTCTGCCACCCCAGCGACAGCACGACCAACCCCGCCTCTTCCTCCTCCTCAGCTGACTCAACGTGAAGAGGAGGGAGAGGACCTTCCTGATGACCCACCTCCTGTTAATGAACAGTAAACAATCCTAGTGCCATACAGTCCACAAACTTACCTGCTGTGCAGGTGTATTCATCTTCGTGTGAAAATCTAATCTCCGTATGGCAAAAACTGTTAACCCACTGTTTGTGTTATCGGCACGGCTTCTAATCAACAGCAGGATAACAGCAGTTAAGTTTTGGTGTGTCAAAAGTTATTTGCAGATTTTTGACTGTGGGGGGGGTTGTGGTACCCCTCATCCATGTACTGTTCAAGGCTCAAATGTATATATTTTACCACAAAAATTGTATTTTTTAAAAAAAAGAATGAGTACACACATAGTCTAAGCCAGGCACTGGAATATCAGAAAGGCAGTCCCTGTCCACTCCCAGGTGCTCCTGTAGGAGACAGACAAAGCAGCAATGTCACCAGCACGTGGGTGCCAAGAGAGGCAGAGCCCAGTGCGGGGGCAAGCAGAGTCACCCAGGACAGAGGCAGACTGAAGGCCGGCGTGCCACTGTGGCCAAGTGAAATCCTGCACAAGACAGGCTCTCCACCAGGGCCGGCCTCCTCCACACAGCATGGTGGCCCCTGACAACAGCCAGGTTTCTGCAGGCCAAGCCACGTGTACGGAGGAGCACCATGAGGCCAGCTGGCGGGCAGAGGCAGATGAGGGAGGCCCTTGTCTACGTCACAGGAAGGGGACCAGAGTCACCCTGGGGGCTCCAGCACAGCCTTCTCTACAGACTGAGGGCCCCAAGCAGGGGCTGGGCGAAGCTGTTAACGCCCGGCCAGCGGTGGAACAAAGGACACGTGCCACACGCGTGTGAGGGGTGGACAAAGGCCCCTGAGAGCCGAGGCCGGGCTGGAGAACAAGGGTGAGAACCCGTTCCCAAGCCACAGGCTCCACCCCGAGGAGAAACGGCACGGTCTGACCGCAGACCGCACTGGAGAGACAGAGACCAAGACAGACTCCTCGAGACTAAGCCGGTGCCGGGGGCGGCTTGCTTTGCGCACCCCCTCCTCAGTGTTCAGAAGACTCCCCCAATGCGGGGTTCAGAACAGCCCGTAGGAGGGTGAGGCCAGAGGAGGACCGGGCTGAAGAAGTCACCACAGCAACACACACAGATGACGGTGCTTAGACCGCAGTGACCACACCGTAGGGGCAAGCAGGCAGAGCTGGGACAGGTTTCAACAGAGCCAACAGGGTTTGCTGACAGATGGACACGGTGCCTGCCA